GAGCACCCCGCCCTGGAAGACGTGCTGGGCCATCTGTACACTGGCGGGGTGCAGCTCGTCCTTCTTGCCCGCTATGTGCAGCGACGGCAGCGTCAGGGGCTGCTCCTTCTCGATGATGTGGCTCCACGAGGGCGACCGTGGTGAGAAAGACGCGATGGTCATGACGAATTTGAGGCATTATTCAGCCTCTCGTCGTCTGCCTGACACACACATCCGCCGCGCACAGGTCTGCCTGCATGAGGCCGATGTGGGAGGTGGCGGCGGAGTGACAAACTGACTGACCTTTTGTTGCAGTGCGGCGCACATGCACGCAAGCGCCCCGCCCTGCGAGAAGCCCAGCAGACCTGCACACACACCGAAACACACGACTAGTGACACACCCCATGTGCTGGCTGGGCTGGACACGGGTCCGACACACATGCGATGCCTACCATCCACAGGACCCTCTTCCCTTATGTTCTTCGAAATGCTGACAGACAGTAGCGAAATGAATGGACCAGTCAATCGTTGGCAGCGTGTCATGTCAGTTGGTCAGTCATGCTTGCTTACTGGTCGACCGCCGCCTCGCCTGCATCGTACTCCATGGTGTTCTCATTCGTGTACCACCACTGATAAAAGTCAGTCTCATCAGGCCACGCCTGCAGGAAGGAACACACAGGTGGCACGATGCGATGATATAAGATAGTCCCTTGTGGCGACTTACTGACTGGCAGGGGACCTTCTCTCAGCGAATGTGTGACGCCGTGCAACGCGACACGCACAGACATCTCCCTGACGACGCATGCATCCATTCCACACAGTGTACTAGTGGAAGGACAAACAGCTTGGCTCGCCCCCAATGCCTGCGTCCTCGCTCCCGTTGAGTCATAGAAGCACCGCCCACATCCAATGACGTCTCTCTCTTTGCTGTATATGTGTGTGTATGTGTGTGTGCCGTGCAGATGAGAGCAGGACCGAGCGAGCATCAGTGCAGAAGCGAAGAGCGCTTACCTACCGAAACACCCACAGAGACACCGACACACAGAGGGGTCAACACGTGCGGCTCTGAATGTGTGTGTGGCGACAATCTAGGCGACAATCGATCCTGTGCATATGGGCGCTGCCCCGAGTGACTGACTCATCGCTGAGAAGGACAGGACAAACAAAACAAGGTAGCTGCACGCACCTGAACAGCTAGGTACACGTACAGATCTGCCCACTCGCACCTGTGTGTCTTTCTATAACTCACGTGGCGATGGATGGATGGATGGAGTGTGCGTGCGTAGACACATGGGGCGGGGCTGGGTGCATTGACGTCAGATACGTGTTCGTGGATCGCTAGTGGGCACCCCCTATTAATCAAAAGCGACATCCATCGCCCAACAGCCGACACACCAATCCATACCAGCAGCATCAGCAGGTCGCTGTTCCTTACCTTTGTGTGTCGTCTGTCTGTCTGTCAGTCAGATGCTCGATGGCCGCCAAAGACACAGTGACGATCAACACTCAGTGTGTGCGGTGTCTGTCCAGCAGCAGACAGCCAGCACACCAACAGACGCACACCATCTCTCTCTCTCTCTCTCTCTCTCTCGCCATCGGCAGACCCCCCACCCACACACAATAGAAAGGCGCACATCGGTCCCTCCATCCACTCATGTGCGCCGACAAAACACGTGAAAATGTGTGTGCGTATCGACAAACAGACGGACTGGAAAGCCATATGTACATTTGTGTGTGAGGCGTGTATGGGTCCGTTCACCCGCCCGCCCCCCCTGTGCGCATCTCGTGTCACCACCCGGCAAACCAAAATCACCAAAGCCAGACGTAGGGGCTGATGGTATCGAGTTGCAGGACGGCAGACGACACCCGCAAAGAGAGAGGGGAGGACACACCAGGAAAACAACACACGCGATACCAGACACAAGACGCACAGCTGGCGAGGACACAACACAGACACTGTTCTCTCTCAGGCGGGCAGGCAGCCAGGCGAATAGATAGAGAGACCACTGGCAATGTGTGAGAAAACTGACTCCCACACGCACGACGCCATGAAGCCCATGGCCACATGTGCTGCTGACCACACAACACACTCGGAAAAAATCTTTACATCTCCCTCCCTCATGCCGTCTCTCTTTGCTGTATGTGTGTGTGTGCAGGTGAGAGCAGGACCGAGCGAGCATCAGTGCAGCTGCGAAGAGCGCTTGCCTACCAAAACACAAACAGAGACACCGACACACACAACAAGGAAGGCATCGTCATGTGTGTGTGTGTGTGCAGAGGTGTCCCGTCTGCGTACCGAGTCTGATCGGCTGACGGCTGAGCTGACAGAGGAGGAGAATCGGCTGCTGAGATCCACACAAGAGCTGGAGGGCATCATGAAGGCCGCCATCCACGGCCACCCGCTGCCGCCACCAACAGGGGCAGCGGGGGGCAACAGGACAGCTGCTGCAGGTGGCGAGGAGCAGGACAGGCTCAGGCAAGAGATAGAGGACGAAAGGCAAAGAGGGGAAATGGCCGCTGAGGGGCAGGGGGAGGGCTGACTTGCTGGCCTTAGACTGGTAGGTGGGTCTGTCTGCGTATGTAACATGTGTCGGTCGGACATGTCCATTGAACCGCATCATCGACCCCTCATCCATCCCCTTTCTGTCTCCAATTCTGTTTGGCAAGCACTCGCCCGCAAAGTCACTAATTAAAATTACCAACGAAAGACTAGAAAAGCCAAGCCAAGCCAGCCATCAGCCTGTCTATCTGGCTCACATGAGGTGCCAGAACTGGTGGTGTGTCTTGACAGCCCGTTTGGCTGGCAGCAGGGCGCTATCAGGGCGCACCAAGTGGCTGCCGACGTGCAGCACATTCGCTTGCCCAAACAGATGTTTCTTACCCTGCAAGACACACCGATGTTGGGTGTGTGGCGGGTGCGATGTGAACAAACGTACCACTGATGCTGGTTGTTCGAACCGCAAAGCTTCGAGCGTGTCTTTGGCAGCCGAAAACTGCCTATCTGCCCCCACACCGGCGCCCTTGTGCGGAAAGCCAAGGTCATTGTTGAAGTACACTGGATGCTGACCTGCACCGGACATGCCCACAGACAGGAGAGGGGAAGCTGTTGATAAATGTCAGTCATCCCTGATTAAGTGTATGAGCACGTACCTAGCTGGTCTGAGTATGGGCAGAACATGCCTTCATGCTCCGATGGACGCCGAGGCACGACTAAGGGACGGGGCTCGCCACGCACCACCTCTTTCAGCCTGGCAGAAGTGGGATCGGCCGACAAACGACCGTATTCCTGGCGAAACACAACACAAACCATTGCAACACAGGTCTTATTTGTTGCACTTGTGCCCTATACTCACCGTGTCCTGAGGCTGGCAGTCCATTCCTCTCCTGTCCACCTGTGAGAGTGGTGACGGCCGTGTCTGCCCGACGAGAGCACTGCCGCCATAGGTGAAGAGGGACATCTGGGAAAAGGATGGCCCGACAGCTGATGAGAGAAGGACCCCAGCTGCTGCGTGGTCGACGTCCGAGACGCCGAGCGAGACTGGGGTTTTCCAGATTGCAATCTAAATAGCGAGACTGCATGCATCAAAATGGCAGATGAGAGATGAGTGGGCGACGGAGACGGTAAGATAGGTAGTGTGCAAATTACCTGCATGTTCACGGAGGAATGGATGCGCACGTGGATTGATGCCTCAGTCAGTCACGCCGCTTCGGATGGATCCACACGTCGGCACACGCCTCCCTTTGTAAACGGCACGGCACGGCACGGCACCACCTTCTCTCACTGCGGACACATACACACACACACACACACACACACGAGACACACCAAAGGCGGCCTTCATACACATGAAGCCCTTCATGCAGTCTCTAGTCTGTCCTACCAGATGAATGAATGACCTCCCTTTTCCTAGCCACAGACAGGGTCGGGAGAACAGGTCAAGGGAGGCAGCTCTTCCACACACCTCTCTCGTCGTCCTATATTCGTGTTCCGCCATGCCCCGCCCCACTTGAGAAGTCAGACACTCTGCGTATCGGTCTGCCTCATCTATCTCTCTGGCATGCCTCAAGGACCACATGGCTGCATCGAGATGAGCAAGACACCTAGATGGGGGGAGGAAGGACGAAAGGCAGAGGACAAGACAGGCGGTGTGAGGTAGATACTCATGTGACAACGTGGTGAGAGAGACAGACGTGGTGAGAAAGGTCACATTGATGGCATCGATGCACAAATCGTCCGGTTGCGAGTGAGCTCACTGCATCCGTGCGTGCTAGCTATCCTGTCCTCTCTAGTGCCACCGAAGGCAGCGGCTCGTCAACGTGGCCTCATCTCGTGTGCTAGCGCCCGTCTCGCTTCATCTGTCTGGCATGGCTCCAGGCCGACATGGCTGCATGGATCGATATGAGCACGACAGCTGGGCAAGGAGGGGTAGTGCCTGGCCAACAAATCGTTTGCTAAGATAGACAGACGCGAAAACGCGACGGACAAGAAGAGACGCATTCAATGGGTCGCATTGATGCAAGTAGGAAGTATCCGCCCGCCGAGTGACTCTGCTGATCTTCACGGGATATACACACGAAAGTGCGACAAGTTGCTGCCTACCTCCCTGAGTGAGTGAGCCGGTGTGATGTGTGCGTGTGTGAACAGGTAATACGTGCGCGGGGCTTGTCTGAGTGTGCGACCGAGATGGGCTCAGGTTAAAGCTATCCGATCCTTCCTTGAGACACAAGTGATCGATGAGTCCTTCCCTCATCCCAGTCCTCTCTCCCTCTCGTCTTCGACACAGTGATGGTGGTGCTTGGGGAACGGCACTCAGGCAGGAAGGCAGGCCATCTAACCAACTACCGCTACACACAAGAAAGAAGGAGAGGCCATCCATCCATCCATCCCACCTGTAGATACCTAGTCTCCCTACAGACAGACAGGCAGGCAGGGCAGGGCAGGGCAGAGAAGGGCGGGCGAGGCCAAAAACACCGACCCACCCATCCCATCTGCCTGCCCTCACACCACACCCATTCCGTCCACCACACCGCACCCTCGGCAGATATGGGATATGTATGGATCTTGTGCTCAATCAAGACAGACAGACAGAGGGCATATGGATGGCGGCCAGACAGTGCACTGCGACTGTACACAAGGCAGAGGGGTGGACGCACACGGCACCCAGCCAGCAGCCAGACCGACAAGAGATAGAGAGGTAGGTCAGCCGTAGCGCGGTCACTCGGTCTTGAGGAGCGACTTGAACGCATCGGGGTCATAGTCGTCCTCATCCTCGTCGGGCTTGGCCAGCATCATCCGCTCCGCCTTGGTCGCCTTGCGGCCAAACTTCTTCTGCACCGGCACGTCCTTCTTGCTCACTATCAACTTGCTCAAACCGCTACTCTGACGACGCGGCACGCCACCCACATCGCCACCCGCCCCGCTGGCGCCCCGCCGAACACCGTCCCGATCAGTTGGGCTGCGGGCGGCATTGCGCACGCCGTTGTGTGGGGGTGAGGATGTGCTGCTGGCCATCGGCGGGAGGGAGGGGTTGGTGCCTGAGCGGGGCGAGAGGCCTGATGGTGGTTTGCGGCTCTTGGGTGCGTCGCGGGCGTCCTTTTTGGGCTGGTCCTTGGCCAACTCCGACTGAAGAGGGAACCAATACACACGTGTGTGTGAGGGGTGTGAGGGGTGTTTGATGCTTGTGAGTGTGGTGGGTGTGGTGGACCTACCGCGTTGACAAGCTCCGCCTTGACGGCGGCGGGGCGGCGCTGGCGCCGGCCGTCCTCGCCCTCCTGATAACACAGCGAGACAACCACACGCAGGCGCAGAGCGATGGATGGATGGATGTGTAGTGGTGGCTGCACTGCTGGTTGTGTAGTGTACCTTGAGAATGTTATCGGTGCTGACTCCGTCCATGACCTCCTCGTACACCTTCTGCTGCTTGCGCTTCTTGCGGTAGGCCTTCTCCTGATCAACACAACACATGGATGGGGCACAACACACACACACATTGAGGAAAGGACCGACACAGGGCTGACTGCTGGGCGTGATGGTGTCTGGCGTTATGGTGTATGGTGGTGGGTGTGCTCACCTCTTCAGGAGTCGGCAAACGCACCTCGCCATTAGCCGTCACACCTGCATTTGCCCACACAGACATACAGAGAGGGAGGGAGAGAGAGGTGGACCGCGGCTCTGTGTGTGGCGTGTGTGAAGCGGCTCTCTGTGTGTGGTGGCTGTGTAACGTCGACCACCACTTACCCAGCTCTGCACACTTCTCCATGACCCTTTGGTTCAACATGGCCACCGACGAATCACCCTTGTCTATGCCTTTGTATATCGACGGGCTGCACGGCACACACCACAGCACACCCCACACACGAGTTGAGTGGAGTGGATGAGAGGAGAGGGTGCGCGCGTGTGGAGCGACGTGACGCTCACCTGATTTGCAGGTCCGTGATGAGTTTCTTCAAACGGCTCCTCAGCAGCGAGTCACTGTCACCCTGCACACACACACACACACACACACCCCCACACCAGACACGCGCCGGCAGTGACAGAATGAAGAGAGCCGATACGGATGTGTCAATCAACAGCTGCTTGGATACATCTTTCAACACGACACGCAGCCGTGTCCAATATGCCCGTGTGGCCTGGCTGGCTGTGCTGCCTCGCGAGTCCTCCCTGACGCCCAAACTGGCTCTCACAAACAGATGGATACCCACAGCTCGCAGCGAACCGGTCGAGACACGACCTCCCTCCAGACCTCCCCGTCTCCCTCGGTGCCTTCCTCGCCCCACTCTGCCCTTCCTGCGACTCTCTGTGGCCCTGTGCATGCCCTCATGACGTCTGCCACCCCCCTGACCCGGCTGCTCACCTCAGAGGCCGGCAAGTCGGCGGTTTTATGTCGTTTCTTCGGTTTGTCCTCCTCTCCACCGTCCGTTGCGCGCTTGGGAGCCGCCTCCTTGCCCTCGGGCGCTTGAGGGGCGGCCGCGGCATCGTCGGCACTGACTATGGGCGTCGGGCGGCAGCCATCGCCCGCCAACACCATTTCCTGATCCTTCTGCTCCGCCTCACCCTGAGCAACGGCAGCAAAAGGGCAGAGAGGGGCAGAGTGGGGATGCGCCCGGGCAGTGTGGGGATGAGACATGCGCCTGTGAGGCCAGGGGAGGGTCGTGCCAGCTCACCTCCACGTGTGGGGGCTTGGGCACCTGAACCAAGATCGTGACAGCGCGCAACGGCGGATGAGGCAGGCGGCGGAGTGAGGAGGGAGGCACCGGCCTGTGCGTGTGGCGTGCTGGGCGTACCTGCTGTCTGTCCGGGGGGAGCTTTTCCTTGGAGGGGAGGTCGGTCGACATGACGTGCTTGTGGGTGGTGTCGGAGAGGGCCACGAAGGTCGGGGAGGGTGCTGAGTCTAGCGCAACGACGGGCGTATGGCTTGTGTTCGTCGACCACATCAAGATGGGCACCAAGGGCCAACGCTCTGCGCCAAAACCAGACACAACCCAAACAAATGATTTTCGGGGAAGTGACTTGACGTTCTGTGCTTTGAAAGGGGTTGAGGGTTTAGGGTTTGGGCTTAGGCTTTTCAGTGAAACCGCAAAACTGTGGGAGATCCGCCCTGGAGATGTCTAGCGCCGAAAGGTAGGCGCCGGGCTTAGGGACAGGCGTAGACACAGCCAAGACAACACCGTCATCCATCAGATCACAGCGACAATGACGGCCACAGCTCCCGTCGATGAGGAGAAGGCGTCATCCCGCCACCCCGTCCCTCCCCTGAACCACAAATCACCATGGCCGTCACTGCTGTCCTTTGCTTACTCATGGAAGATGATTAATGTGGCGCGTCGGAAGGTGTTGGACAAAGAGGACCTGCCGCAGGTGGCTGGGAGTGACGAGGCAGCGAGAATAGGCGCATGGATGGAGGATGCCTGGCGTGAGGAGTGTGCCAGGAGTGATAAGCCCAACGTGTTGCGGATGTTTGTGAGGAAGTTCTGCTGGTGTAAGCGAGAAATGGCCGGCCGAGTGGCTGGGAGGGTTTCTGTGGATTGACCGATTCCTCTTTCGTGTTGGCGGTGTGTGTATGTGATGTGTGTGACAGGGTTCATCTGCCTGGCCGCCTTGCAGCTGTGTGAAGTGGCGGCGTACATCGGTAAGTAAGAGCACACACACGCACACAAGTGGAGACAAGAAACAGACACAGACACAGTGTGTCGCCGTGTGTGTGCCGATCGATCAGGTGTGGCGTTGATCGTGGGTGAGCTTCTGGGCGGTCTGTCTGACCCCACCGCATCGCTCGGCTACCTCATGACCTGCGCATCGACGCTGCTGCTGCTCGGCCTGCTGCTCAACATCACCCACCACCATGTCTTTCACGAAGGTACGCCTAAACCCAAACAGCTAGGAGAGTTCGGTTGCCACTGAGAGAGGTGTCTACAAATGTCTGGATCTGTGTGTGTGTGTGTGTGTGTGCGTGTGCAGGGTTTCACTTTGGGATGCGCCTGCGTGTGGCGGCTATGTCGTTGGCGTACAACAAGGTGCTGAGGCTGAGCCTCAGGGCACTCACAGACGTGTCAGCCGGACAGGTAAAACCACACACACACACACACACACAGACGGGCAGGGAGGGAGGGGAGACGTGTGTATATTCGCTTGGCAGATAATGAACATGTTCTCGAGCGATTTCTACCGGATGGAGTACGGCGGACCGTTCTTCCAGTTCGTCGCGACGTAATGACTGGCTGACGCCCCTTCACAAACATACACCTGTGTGCTGGCATATTGTGTGTGTGTGGTTGTGTGTGGTTGATGCAGGTCTCCCATTCACCTGTTGGTGGTGTTGGTTATCGTCTATCAGAAGATCGGGCCCGCGTCGCTCATCGGTATCTCCCTGCTGGTGCTCCTGCTGCCCGCACAGATGGTACATAGCACATCACACGCCGGCCCTCGCACACGCTTGTCAGCATCTGTTTGTTGTGTTCTTTGCTATGACAGGTGTTTTCATCGCTGTTTGTGCGGTTCCGTCGCCGCACGGTGGCTGAGGCGGACAGACGCGTCAGGACGATGGGGGAGCTCATCAGGTGGGTCGGTGGGCACACAAACCTCTGTCTGTGCTCGTGGGTGAGGCCGCGTGCATACCACCACTCCATCCATCCATCCATTCATCCATCCAGCTTGGTCACCTCACCCACCCACCCAGCAGCAGCAGCAGCAGCCTCCTGTGGTGTGCATATGTATCTGCATTGCTTTATCACCTGCTCCGCGTCGCTTCGGAGGAGGACGTCCAAGATGCAGACACTGACGACCTGGCAGATGGGTGACGGGCTATAGCGAGGCGCCACCATACTCACTTGTGGCGGGCTCGAATGGACCAGTCACACACACACACACACACATCCATCCATCCATCCACTGTGTGTGGTGAACTCATTTGTCTGTTTGCGCCTCTCTCATTTGTCGGTTTGTGTGTGTCTTTGTTTGTCTGTCTGTGTGATTGTGTGTCTGTGTGTGCCAGCGGCATTCGTGTGTTGAAGCTGTACTCCTGGGAGGAGCCCCTGGCCGAGCGGGTGGCGCACGTCAGAAACAGAGAGATCCGCGCACTTCGCAGATCCATGAACCTCAAGTAAACACCACACATAAGAGAGTGTCTTCACAGGCACGCCGAAATTGTGTGTGTGTGTGTGTGTGATTGTGTGTGTGCCGCCTCAGGGCTGTGAATCTGTGGTGCGAGTTTCTGTCGTCAGCGGTGATAGTGTCGATCACCTTCACTGTGTATGTGCTGATGGGCAACACGCTCACACCCGCACTCATATTCTCCACGTGAGCGCCATGGCTGCGAGACACCCCCCACACACACACACGCAGAGAAAGATCACCTTGTGTATGTCTGTGTGTGTGGCTGTCTGGTTGTCTGTGTGTCAGGTACTCACTTTTCCTGCCGCTGCAGCTGACGCTCACGCTCTTTTTCCCATACGCCGTAGAATTTCTCTCTGAGCTCTATGTCGCCACACAGCGGCTCACCGCACTGCTCACACAGAGCGAACGCAGCACACACAAAAGGCACGGCATTGCCAATGGCAACGGCTGGTGAGTCAGTGAGTGGAGGAGTGACTGAGCAAAACGTCTTTGTGGATGTGTGTGGATATGTGTGTGTGTCCATGTGTGTGTGTGTGGTTGTTGGCGTCAGCACTTCCGTGCCTTCCACCGACTCTTCGGACGACACCCAGATCGACACACCCACACCGACACACCACCACGCCATTGACATACACAAGTGAGCAAACGAGTGAACACACACACACAGACACCCACACACACACACATACACACACAAGCGACACACCCACCTTGTGTCTGTGTGTCCTGCCTGCAGCATGACCGCCTCATGGGAGCCGAAAACTGGCCCCGTGTTGAAGAGCGTCAGCCTGTCTGTCAAGCAGGGAGAGCTGCTGGTCATCGCCGGCCCGGTGGGAGGCGGCAAGACCTCACTACTCATGACCATCCTGGGAGAGCTGGAGCCACAGGTGAGTGCAGCAACCACATACACACACACACGCACACGCGTACCTTTCTGTCTGAGACTCCGTGTCTGTGATGTACCTGTGTGTTCAGGCGGGTGGCGTGTGTGTGCGTGAGGGGGACGGCATGGCCCTGGTGGAGCAGGAGCCATTCATCGCGCCCGTCACGATCCTCGAGAACATCCTCTTCGGCAAACCTGCCGACCAGGTGATACCTCCTCCCCCCGTCCTCCTCTCCCCCCCCCACACACACACGCCGCATTTCCCCTGCCTGCGTGCATTCAGGCCCTCGTCGATGCCGCCATCCACGCATCTGCCCTCGCCACCGACCTGGCCAGCATGCCTTCCCACGTCCACACCCAAGTGGGCGAGAGGGGCGTCACCCTCAGTGGCGGGCAGAAGGCGAGAGTCGCCATGGCAAGGGCCATCTATGCCGCGGCCATCACACGCAAGCAGCGGCAGCAGCAACAGCAGCAGGGAGGCATAGTGGTGCTGCTGGACGATCCACTCTCGGCCGTTGACGCCAATGTCGCCAGACACCTGGTGGGTACACACACACGCACATACACACATACACACTCGACCCGAGTCACTCGCCGTCTATGTGTTGTGTTGTGCCATCGGTTGTCAGGTCGCTGAGGCGCTGCTGGGTGCCCTGGCTGACACCACACGCATCCTCGTGACGCACCAGGTGTCGGTCGTGGCGCAGATGTGCCCCCAGGGGCGGCTGGTGGTGCTCAATGACGGCTGTGTGGTGCATGACGGGGTGCTGGGCGACGTGGCGCACATGCCACACCTGCTGATGAGGGGAGACGTCGTTCGGGAGAGCGAGAAGGAGGCGCAGCTTGAGGAGATCCACCTGCATGAGATCAGCCTTGACGACATGGCCGACAATGAGGACGACGGCAACAACAACAGCAGCGAGCAGCAGAAACCAGGTGGGTGTAGGCGTGCACCCCACATAACACACATACACCCATCCATCGGATCTCTCTCTCTCTCTCTCTCTCTGTGTGTGTGTGTGGCTCTCCGTGTCTTGTGTGGGTGCTGGCTGATTGTGCAGCGTATGAGCATTCGTGCTCCGTGTTGAAGGATACCAACGAAGAGGGTCAGGAGGAGGCCAGCAAGGGTGCCATCATCGAGGCGGAGACCCGGCAGACCGGGACTGTGTCCTGGGGCGTCTTCCGCACATACGCATCACACATGGGTGGGGTGGGGGGGCGGGTGACTGCCTCCTGTTTGTTTCCTCTATGAGCGCATCTCTGTTGGTGTGTTGTGTTGTGTTGTGTTGTGTGTGCAGGCCCCTGGTGGGTCATCTGCGTCATGTGTCTGCTGGCGGTGGGGGCGCAGGTGATGCTTATCCTCAGTGGGGCGTACCTCAGCCAATGGAGCCAACTCGACAACGAGCAACAGACACAGCCCGCAACCATCGGGGTAGCCATAAGCCCACCCATCCATCCAGCCATCCATCCTTTGTATGTCTGTCTGTATTTCTGTGTGCAGCATTATTGGCTGCTGGTGTTGTTCCTCTTGATCTTCTCCGTCTCCCGTGCCCACCTGTTTTTCGCACTCTGCCTGCGGGCCTCACAGTCGCTGCACAACACGGTCTTCGCCAAGCTCCTGTCCGCACCCATGAGGTGGTTCGAGGCCAACCCAACTGGCAGAATCCTCAATCGGTTCTCCAAGGATGTCTCGCTCATGGACGACATGGTGCTGCAATTTTCACCCGCGCTTTCATCCAAGCGAATCTTCACCGTCTCCCTCTCTCCGTGTGTCTGTGTGTGTGTGTGTGTGTGCGTAGGTGCCGTATACGGGTTTAGACGTCATGCAGTGCTCTCTGCGTGTGCTGGGTACGGTGGTGTTTGTGTGTGTGGTCAACCCCGTCGTCGTCGTGCCTCTCATCCCTCTGGCCGCGGTGCGTACGTCTCGGCCACACGCACACCGCACCCCCAGGCACCCACACACACACACAGGCAGAGGGCTGGATGGATGTGTTCTTTATTGTGTTAACAGGTGTGTGTGTGGCTGAGGCGGGTGTACCTGAGAAGCTCAAGAGAGCTGAGACGCCTTGATGGTGCGTACGTCATTCACCATCGTCCCGTGCCCATTCTGCGATAGAGTATCTCTGTGTGTGCCTCTCTCTGTGTTTGTGTGTGTCAACAGGTGTGGCGCGCTCCCCCCTCTACTCGCAGCTGACCACCACGCTCCACGGCCTGGCCACCCTGCGCGCCTTTGAGCTTCATGACGACAGCCGGTGTCAGTTTGAGGCCACACAGGACATGCACAACTCGGCCTACTGGACATACAAACAGGCAAGCAAGTAGCCGGCAACCATTGTTACAACACCATCACTCGCGCTCAAGAGTGTATTGTATCTCTGTGTGTGTGTGCATGGGATCAGGTTGAGAGGTGGTTCGGCTTCCGCCTTGACGTGGTGGTGTCGGTGTTCCAGGCCATAACGGCGATCGGAGCCGTGGCGATGCGGCAGCTGGCCGTGAGGGGTCGGGAGGAAGGCACCTGGCTGGGGGGGCTGGAGAAGATGGCCGCTGACCCGGGCCTACTGGGGCTGGGACTCGTCTACATCATTCAAATGGTGGGCTGGTGGGTGGGTCGGTGGGTACGCTACCTCTTTGCCGCCATGCCATGTGCATCTTTCTCTCCCTCTCTCTCTGGATGGGATGGATGGATGGATCAGGCGAGCTTGTTTCAATGGACGGCGAGGCAGTCCGCAGAGCTGACCAACTTCATGACGTCCGTCGAGCGCATCATCGAGTACGCCCGCCTCCCACAGGAACGGCAGGTGACGCCGGCAGAGGAACAGACCACCTTGACACGCGCAAAGAAGACACTCCCCCACCCGAGCCCATGGCCGTCTGATGGCGTCGTGGCCTTCAACGATGTGGTGCTGCGGTATCGGGACCACATGCCCACCGCCCTCAAGGGCGTCTCATTCTCCCTGCGACCGAGAGAAAAGGTCCGCTGCAGACACACGACACACAGGCATCCACACATGGCCACGTGATGGTCCGTTTGTGTGTCAGATCGGCATCGTCGGGAGATCTGGTGCCGGCAAGACGTCGCTCATCGCGGCCTTATTCCGGCTGTCCGAGATAGAGGGCGGCAGCGTCACCATCGACGGCGTCGACAGTCGCAGCTTGCGGCTGCGGACACTCAGGTCGAGCATATCGATCATTCCACAGTCGCCCGTCATCTTTGCCGGGTCGCTGAGGGCTAATCTAGACCCTTTCAACGAGCATTCGGACGATGCCGGTGAGTTAGTTGCACAGGACAGCTGTGTGAGTGTGTGTGTGTGTGTGCGTGTGGAAAGGTGGACATGTGTGTGATTGTGGGTGGCATGTTCAGTGTGGGGTGCGCTCAAGGCAGTGCAGCTGGAGGGAGTGGCCAACAAGCTCACTGGCGGCCTGATGGCCAGCCTCACAGAGGCAGGAGACAACTTCAGGTACCTCCCACACCACCACCCCGAGCACCCACACACACATACACACATTCCCGCCATGTTTGTGTCTGCCCTCTCTCGGCGTGTCAGTGTGGGCGAGAAGCAGCTGGTGTGCCTCGCCCGAGCACTCCTGCGCGAGACCCGCATCCTTGTCCTCGACGAGGCGACTGCCAACGTCGACACTCACACGGACTTCCTCATCCAGCACGCCCTCCGGAACCACCCCCACTTCCAAAAGTGCGTGGTGCTCACCATCGCCCACCGGCTGTCGACCGTCATCGACGCGGACAGAGTGCTGGTGATGGACAGGGGCGCCGTGGTGGAATTCGACTCGCCTGCAGAGCTGCTGCGGCGGGGGGACGGGGATGGGTACTTCAGGCGGCTGGTGGATCGCACGGGGATGGGCGAGAGGCTGAGAGTGCTCGCGTGTGAGGCAGAGAGGAAGAGGGCGGGGGAGGGGGAGGGAGAGGGGCAAGGGCGTGTGTAACGCGCACTTCTGGTGTATGTCTGTGAGTGTTGTGTGTGTCGGGCTTCTGTGGGTGCACATCCCTCCGTTTTTCCCGGTTGGAGGGAGGCGACACAGACACACAGACAGACAGACAGGCGATCGCAGCGATTTACCTGTTTAGTCAATCTATCTACCTATTGCCGTGTCGTTGTTGTTGTTGTTGTGGTATCGCTCATCGCTTATCGCATATCGCACCGATGGCTGCAGTGCAGGTATGTTTTTTTGTGTGCTGTGTTTTGTTTGTACCCATATACACCGACAGGCAGGCAGACGTAGATGATATCTGTGTGTGTGTGCGTTGTGTTTCTGTGGGTGTCACACCGTTTTTCGTGGGTGGGTGGATGGGTGGGTGAGGTGATCGCGTAATGGTGCTCCTGGGCGTCTGTGTGCGTCATACACATACCGACATACACACATATGTCGTTGTGTCCGAGGGTGTGTGGGTGTGGGTGTGCTCATCGCAGCTAGTCATCCCACAGGGAGACATCCAGTGCTTGTGTCTGGTGAAACGGAGCCCTCCCCTGTGTTTAGTGTCACATATGTGAAGGACACGACGCCACCCAGCTTGTTGCCCATGGCTGGCCGGCAACGTGTCCGTCAAGGATGTGACACCCACACAGGGAACGGACCGTAGAGAACGAAGCAAAGGCTGCGTCTGGAATCGGTGAAGATCTTTACACATATACCACACCACCAACAAGCAGATTTGATCAGTCCGTTCTCGTCATTGTCGCATCCCTTGAGCCACCCACCCATACGCCACGCCCACAAATACGTCTCTACTAGCCGCTTCTCTCTCTCACGCCGACACCCACACCCACCCATTTACCAACACGGACCACCAATGCCAACTAAGAATGAGGAGAGGAAAAAGGCACCTGACCTGATCTGGTCTGATCGTATCCCATCACACACAGCAAAAAACGCACAACAAAAGCTCAGCTCAGGGTGGGAAAACTAGCATGTATGTATCCACAATGCTGCAAAAACAGTCTGGCAATATCCAGCCGACACACCGCACCTCGGCCGGGAGCCATCAGGAGCACCCATCCGATCCCGTCACCCATTTCGTCTGCCTACTCACATCAAACAGAAAAAGCTTGGACAAGGCTCCATTCGCAGACAGTGGCCGTCTCGTTAATCGCATGCGCCACCGCAGCGCGCACCACCTTCTTGGTGCCGCCGTGTCCCCGCCCACGCCGAACAGTGCCAGTGCCCTTCACACCGCTGCTCCTGCGCACAGACGGCGTTCGAAGCGACGCAGAAGCCGTGTGGGAGGAGGGCGGCAGGGGGTGCGCCCCGCGTATGCTCGTGCCGCGACACTCAGTGACGGATGTGTCTTTGCTGAATGACGGCAGCCAGGAGGGCATTTCTGCGAGGGATGGGGCGAGGGTGTGGTTGGCCCGCCGAGATGACGCCACCTGCGCGAACGAGGGCAGTGAGTGGCCGGCAGCTGAGACGACGGCGGGGGAGTGAGCTGACACAATGGCGGGCGGGGTAGGGGAGGGTGAGGGCGACGACTGCTGAGAGTCCGTCTTGTCGATCCTGCGCAGACAAACACAGACAGACAGGTGGAGGCAATCTTGCTGTCTGTCTGTATGGATCCGTGCCGCCGTACCACTTGACAAGGTGTGCACACGGGGTGGGGAAGTCAGCAGCAGCCAGTGTGGGCGCCCCATCCTCTCGGTCCACCGCCATGTCCCCATCCCGCCAGATTCTCAAGTCTCTCAGCGGCTCGAGCAGCCTTTCCACGTCCACATCACTCAGAGAGTCCAGCCCACGGCCATGCGCAGCATGAGCGGGGAGCGACGACAGCGTGCCCTTGAGCACCTCCGACACAGACGAGGTGCGAAACCCCTCATCCAGCGAGAGACTCTCGACGAGGTACCGGTCGGTCGATGTGTCGGCTGCCTTGTGCACCACGTAGATGTCCACTGCCTTCCTGTCGCCGTGGAGCGCCTTGTCAGAGGCCGTAATATGGTACGACAGCAGGTCGAACGGGACGCCTTCGTGCTCGATGCGGCCGCGGAGCTCATCTGCTTTGCCCGCGTCAGGCAGCACCTTCAGAGTGAACACCTCTCGCTGCAGCCCTTGGTCGCTTTCAAGCCCATAGCTGAACCGATGAGAGCTGTCCTTTGGCGCCACAAATGCCGGAAGGTCAAAAGGGCCCGCCGCTGCAGCATCAGACGCAGCTTCGGAGAGCTTCTCGCCTTTGTTGTTCTCGACTGACAAAGGGCCGAATTTGTCCATAACATCGGCGATGGTGTCGCTCTGACGTCCGCTGAGCGCCGCACTCGCCGAGGCAGCCGGCAGGAAGAGCGAGATGAACAGGATCATCCGGAGTCCGGTTCTCGCACTGTGGATGGCCTTCCCAGAAGGCCCTCGGCCTCGTACAAGGAACCAAACCAAAAAAAGCTTGAGATTTGGTAGCTGAGATGGGATCGTTTCTGAGCTCGCAACTGAAATCCGACTCCCCCTGCGCAGCGCGCCCCTCAATCGTCAAGAAAGAGCGATGGGGAACGCCTATTCTTCTGACGAGGTTCAGCGTAAGAAGGGGGAGATTCGTCCGTTTCTGGTGAAGGTGCACAGCGCGGCCCTGAACCCGGGCAACTACTTCTTCGTGCAGCCGGAGCTGTTTGACAGGCTGCGGGAGGAGATATGCTTCAACCGGGAGGCCACGCAGTACCTCTGGGGGCAGATGAAGCAAAACACCGACGTCAACATGCAAGGTATCACGGACATACAGACACAGAGTGTTACGGTTAATGCAAGGTTCTTCCCTCAGACATCATGATCATGAAAAAGACAAACTGGGACTCCTACCTCGGTCCGCACCGTGGCCTACACACAGACACACACACAGACAGGGAGGGAGGGAGGGAGGGAGGGGTGTGTGTCGTCTGTCTGGTCGTCTCACTCTCTCTCATTTGTGTGTGGTGTGGTGTGGTGTGGTGTGGTGTCTGTGTGTGTGTGTCAGCCCACCATCTGCGGACGATGGAGCCGCGGATCCGTGATGTGCAGCGGCGGCTGTTTGCGCCCGACAAGGCGGACAACTACGGCCTGCGGTCGACGCGCCGCTCCATGTGGGAGGTCTGTGTCAACCCCGCTAATGGCAACGGCAAATACCTCTCCTGGAGTGAGTGAACGACAGACAGACAGGGAGACAGACAGACAAGGGGAGAGTGTGTGGTGTGGTGTGGTTGTGTTTTGGTGTGTGTGTGGCAGATGAGTTTTACTGCATGTGCATTTTGATTGACTGGAAGTGCCCGCACAACGTGTTCTCCGTCTCGGGGGCTCTGCGCCTCTCTCTCATATTCGCCATATACGACCAGGGGGCCAAGGGTACGCAACGAGACGCGACGCACTCACGCACACCATCCACACCATCCACACATCCACACACCCTCACACCCTCCCCTGTATCTCTCTCTCTCTCTCTCTGTGTGTGTGTGTGTAGGGTTCCTTGACGGTCAGGATTTGAAGCGCATGTTGGAGGATTTGCAGTTGGTGTGCGACCTGGATGAGAGCGGCCCGTCGCTGCCCTTCAAGGAGGGCGCTGCCGCCGCCGTCAAAATACTCGAGAAGAACAGACTCGAACTCGAAGAGGTATCCTATCACAGACAGACAGACAGACAGACAGGAGGTCACCTGGGGGCTCTCGTCCATATCTTTCTCTCTCTCTGCTTGTGTGTGTGCTTGTCACACAGTTTTGGGAGCTGGTTGCGTCGAATTCTCTCCGTGGCACATCGCAGCTGTACCGTGTGGACCTGGGCATCCCCTATACGCCACCCGTGGGCGTCAACCCCAACCAGCTGGCGGGGGCACCAGTGTACCCGCCCTCCACCAGTGTCTTCACGGCCAGGATACCCGATGACGCACCACAGCCAAGTCAGTGGAGCGTGCCCGTGTGTGTGTGTGTGAGTACGGCAAATGCCCTCATTGTTCTCCTCTGTCTGTCACACGCAGAGGCTCCTGCCCCCGCCGCAGGGCCGTCCTCTCAGCCCATGGCGTCGCCCACACAGCACCCGTCGGGTCTCGCCGCCCCGCCCAAACCC